CTCACTTCCCTTTCCCTTCTCTCCTTCTGTTTCCGTTTAACTGATAAAGCACAAGACAGGTATGATAAAGCAGTGGAAGGTAAAGCAGAGGGTGACTCCTTGCGCTTGGACCTTGCCGTGCTTCATCATGTCCCTCTTCTCGGCCTATCTCTTCTGCTCTTTTCCTTACTCTTCTCCTTTTCATAAATTCTTCCTCTTTAGTTGTTCTTATTTCGAAAAGAAAGAGGGAAGGGAGAGATAAGGGAGATAGGATAGATAAAGAAGAGTGCCATCTTCTCAGCGCCTCGTTTTGTCTCTCCATCTTCTCTATTCATCTCTCTTCTATTCTTTTCTTTGCCATTCCATTGAAATTGGATTCCTGTTATCTCTCCCCTCTCCTTCTCTCTCGCTCCTCTTCTCCTGTTTTCCTCTAAATGACAAAAACACAAGAAAGGAAGAACAAGAGGGGCATGTGTTGCAATAAAGCAGGAAGGGAATTGAAGAGCTCCTCTCGCTACTTTCTCATGCCCTTTCCTTTCTATCTACCACAATCTACCACACCAAAACACGACTCTCAGCTTCCAAATATACTTCATCATGGGGAGAAGGGACATACTTCATCACAGACTTGGCCCACAGGGAGAGGGGATATACTTCATCACGCTGCTGGTGGGCTGGATCACAAACATGGCCCACGGGGCGAGGGGACATACTTCAGCCACAAAGAGAGGGAACCTACTTCATCACGCTGGTGGGATGCTGGATCACAGACCTGGCCTACGGGGAGAGGGGACATGCTTCATCACAAATTTGGCCCACGGGGAGAGGGGACATACTTCATCACAAATGTGGCCCGCGGGGAGAAGGGACATACTTCATCACAGACTTGGCTCACAGGAGGCGCCAAAATAATCTAAATAATCTAATTATTCAAATCCATTGGTTCCTCTGGAAACCCAACCATTTAAATAATTTAAAGAATTTAATTATTCAAATACCTGGATTTAAATATTTTAGTTCTGGGGCGTCCCATCAAAAGGGAATAGGGAGAGACAAGGGAGAGATGATATATGTAGAGCTTTGCGCTTTATTTTGTCACTCCGTCTCCTTGCTTCCTGTCTCTTCTCTTCTTTCCAGTACCCTTCCAGAAAAATGGCATCCTTGTTCTCTCTCCTCTCTCACTTCCCTTTCCCTTCTCTCTTTCTGTTACTTTTTGACTGATGAACAGCAAGAAAGGAACTTGCAGGATAAAACAGTGGCAGGGTAAGCAGAGGTTGCGCGTGGACCTTGCCGTACTTCATCATATCCCTCTTCTCGGCCTATCTCTTCTGCTCCTTTCCTTACTCTTCTCCTTTTCATAATTATTCCTCGTTAGTTGTTCTTATCTGGAAAAGAAAGAGGGAAGGGAGAGATAAGGGAGGGAGGATAGATAAAGAAGAGTGCCGTCTTCTCTGCGCCTTGTTTTGTCTCTCCCTCTTCTCTATTCATCTCTCCTCGATTCTTTTCTTTGCTGTTCTATTGAAATTGGATTCCCTGTATCTCTCCTCTGTCCTTCTCTCTCGCTCCTCTTCTCCTGTTCCCCTCTAAACGATTGCTCTTTACAGATAGGTGCCCTCCCTCCTCTTCAGGAAATCTCTTTTCGCTTATTTTGCTTTTTGAAGCGAATAAAACAACGGATAAGAGAGGAAAGGGAATGACTAAGTAAAGACAGGAGCTCTTCAATAGGTGCCCTCCCTCCTCTTCAGGAAATCTCTTTTCCCTTATTTTGCATTTTGAAGCGAAGAAAACAACAGATAAGAAGAGAGGAAAGGGAATGACTAAGTAAAGAGAGGAGCTCTTCAATTTCCCTCCCTATATCTGATGTTACTTTTCCTTCTTGGGCGGTGCCCTTCCTTCTCCCTTGAAGATGCAGAAAACGATCCAAAAAGGACACCCGTTCCATCGCCCATATATAGACAGAGATAAATCATGAGCATCAGCTGGGTTTGCTGCCGATCCAAAATGGGCGTCCCTTTTAATCGCTTTCTGTGTCTTGAAACGAGCAAAAGGGGCACCCTTACTAAGTGTTTTCTTGTGGTGTCCCTTTTCTTCGCTTGAAGATGCAGAAAACGATCCAAAAAGGACACCCGTTCCATCGCCCATATATGGGGAGAGAGATAAATCATGAGCATCAGCTGGGTTTGCTGCCAATCCAAAATGGGCGCCCCTTTTAATCGCTTGCTGTGTCTTCAAACGAGCAAAAGGGACACCCTAAGTGTTTTCTTGTGGTGTCCCTTTTCTTCGCTTGAAGATGCAGAAAACGATCTAAAAGGACACCTGTTCCATCGCCCATATATAGGGAGAGAGAGAGGGAGAGAGAGAGAGAGAGAGAGAGAGAGAGAGAGAGAGAGAAATCATGAGCATCAGCTGGGTTGGCTGCCAATCCAAAACGGGCGTCCCTTTTAATCGCTTTCTGTGTCTTCAAACGAGCAAAAGGGACACCCTAAGTGCTTTCTTGTGGGGTGTCCCTTTTCCTCGCTTGGAGATGCAGAAAACGATCAAAAAGGACACACATTCCATCGCCCATATATATATATATATAGAGAGAGAGAGAGGGAGAGAAAAAAAATTCATGAGCATCAGCTGGGTTGGCTGCCAATCCAAAATGGACGTCCCTTTTAATCGCTTTCTGTGTCTTCAAACAAGCAAAAGGGACACCCTAAGTGCTTTCTTGTGGGGTGTCCCTTTTCCTCGCTTGAAGATGCAGAAAACGATCAAAAAGGGCACCCGTTCCATCGCCCATACATATATATAGAGAGAGAGAGAGAGAGAAAAACAAAATCATGAGCATCAGCTGGGTTGGCTGCCAATCCAAAATGGACGTCCCTTTTAATCGCTTTCTGTGTCTTCAAACGAACAAAAGAAAACACTTAGGTTCCTCACTTGAAGATGCAGGAAACGGCCCAACAAGGACACCCGTTCCATCGCCCATATATGGAGAGAGAGAGAGAGGGAGAAAGGAAAAAATCATGAGCATCAGCTGGGTTTGCTTACATGTTCATTGTTATTCCTTTTGTTTTTTCTAACGGAAATGAACAAGAGAAGAGAAAAATAAGAACCAGAGGAAAGATGAAAACGAGCACCATCTTCTCTTTGCCTGATTTTTGCATTTCGCCTGTCCTCATTTCTCTTCCATTCTTTTCATTGCTCTTCCATTTAGAGTTGCATTCCTGTTGATCTCTCCTCTCTCCTTTCTCTCTCCCTTCTCTTCTCTTGTTCTCCTTTAAATCTCAAAAACACACAGTGAGGAAGACAAGCTTCGAGGCGCTGGAGCCGTGCCGTTTTCAGGCATCGGCTTGGTCAACGAGTTGCTATTTGTTGTCCGCAAAGTTAGTGTCTTAAGATTGTTCACCGATTGTTGTATGATGGTCACTGATTATCCGAGAAGTTTTCGCGGGTCTTTTGCAATGGGTGCTGTCGTTGCTGTTTTTTTGTTGGCTCCTTCTCGGCGGGGCAGTGGCTTCTGCGGTCATGGGAGTGTCCGTGGCGGAGGTGGACTGTAGCGGGTTGTGCGGCTGCATGATTCCAATGCTTGCGGTAAAGGCATGTGTCTCAAGGTGATTTTCTGCGGGAGTGTTTTCTGCACGAGACGGTTCAGGGCACTGCAGGACTCGCGTCCACTTCAGTTTGTGAAGAAGAGTACGAAGTTCGACAGATTGTCGAACCGACATCTGTACGCGTTGAATGATAATGTAGATGTCTTGAAAGAGTTAGGGCATCTTCATGAGAAGAAGCCTCTTTCAGTAGCAGTGATCTTTGTCGACACACACCAAGCAACAATTGTGCACGACAGCTGGCGAGACTTGGCGTCGGCCGCAGCAGTTTCCCGAGTCAGGAAGACAAGCTCCGAGGCGCCGCAGCCGTGCCGTCTTCAGGCATCGGCTTGGTCGACCAGTTGCTATTGGTTGCCCGCAAAAATAGTGTCTTAAGATTGTTCACCGATTGTTGTATGATGGTCACTGATTACGCGAGACGTTTTCGCAGGTCTTTTGCAATGGGTGCCGTCGTTGCTTTTTTTTGGTCGGCTCCTTATCGGCGGGGCAGTGGCTTCTGCGGTCATGGGTGCGTCCGTGGCGGAGGTGGACTGTAGCGGGTTGTGCGGTTGTATGATTCCAATGCTTGCGGTAAAGGCAGTGATTTTCTGCGGGGGTGTTTTCTGCACGAGACGGTTCAGGGCACTGCAGGACTCGCGTCCACTTCAGTTTGTGAAGAAGAGTACGAAGTTTTACAGGTTGTCGAACCGACGTCTGTACGCGTTGAATGATAATGTAGATGTCTTGAAAGAGTTAGGGCATCTTCATGAGAAGATGCCTCTTTCAGTAGCAGTGATCTTTGCCGATCCACACCAAGCAACAATTGGGCACGACAGCTGACAGGACACTTCAATGTGCGCACAACGGTGCGCAGCTCGACCCGAGAGACCGCTTGGATCATCCCCCACGCAAGAGCAGAAGTGATAGCTAGTATTCGTTGCCAACATCTGACTGCGTCTGTACGTTCGCATCAAAAAAAGAGTAAATTATAAATCGTAAGCCCTAAACCCTAAGAGAACGAAATTGGTGAATTTGTGCTTCAGGTTTCTTGGATTTAGTTTGTTTATAGGTTTTTAAATACAAAACAAGAGAGAACGCCAAATAATACATAAAGGTCCATGCCACATATGTATATATGTATACATATGTCTAAGATTTTAGTGATGTATGTATATAGATTTTGATGTCTCATCTCCTGGATCCCATGGCATCTCATGGCGTCTAGGAGCTTCCCGCGAATGTGAGGTCGGCAGCCCGCAGGCGGGGAACTCTGCCGAAGGACCCAGGCACCTCGGCCCACACGAGCGCACACGAAGCTAGACCCTTCGGAGGTTGCACACTCCAAATTCGCAGTGAAAATCGCCTCGAAGTCGCCCCTTTCTACAACTGTGTGACTCTTGGACTCTAAACTCTTACAAGCTCGGACTCACTGTAGGACAAGCGAGGCACCAAAAACACCCAGTCCTCTGAGGCAAACCCACTGGTGAAGTCCGACAGACCGGAGTCGGAGTCGGCGAGGTTCCTAAGCACAGCAACTGCACATCAAAACAGAATTTGCAATTTTGCTCTGCGCGGCGCTCACCGCGAGCCGGGGCGCATCTATCTGATCCATTTCTCGCATCTAACCCGCTTCGTATCGTACCCAGGCTCAGCGCGGTGAGGTTTTCAATGTTGGACAGGTGGAACGCGGCGAGCCGGCCTAAGGCGCAGCAGGTTGGAAATCGTTAGCATGGCTCAGCATGGCTCAGCTCAGCGGCTTCGGGATTCGCAACAAACTTCCGGAGGCGCGGTTGCGCTGGGCGGCCGGGCTTGAGTTCCAGGGCACAAGGACAGCATGTTGGCTCGTGGCAAAGCCAGCGCGGAAGCCCTCGAACAGCCCGCCCTGACAAGGAAGGCATGCAAAATGTTCGCATTTCCCTCTCTGCACTGGAAAACAGAGAAAGCAGAGAGAGAAAGCAGAGAGAGAGAGAGAGAGAGCAGAGAGAGGGGGCAGAGAGCGCCTGGTGCAGGTCTACGCTGGAGAAGGCGCTCGTCGGAGCTATCTCTCGTCCTTCGAGGGAGAACTCGAGGGAAACCCAGCGTTAGATCCGGGCATGGCCTTCGATGGCCTTCGCTTCGTCCTACCGTCTTCCTCTCTTCCTACCGTCAAATCCTCTGTTCAGGCCAAGCAACGGACCACAATGGCGGAATCCTGAGTGTTCTCGCGACACGGGCATTCTCTCAGGCTGACAACCCTCAAGCATGGCAAGTCTATCAACTGTCCTCGGAGATGATGTAGTGGGCCACGTCGTCTGTAAAGAGGCCGGAAGGGTGAGCACCCAGTAGTTGGGGAATGTCTTCCTTGAAGGGGAAATCCACAGAGCATCGGCAGAATATGGCACAATCTGCTGAACTACTCTCGAGGCTCCGACATTGACGTCGAAGATGTTGTGCGCGTTGTCAAGGAGGCCCTGCGGAGAAGCACGTGGCATTTGCCATACTCGGGCCGCTTCGAGAAGCACTTCATGCAGTGGGGGCCTTGCTGCACTGGTCAACCGCAATGTCTCCGCCTTCACTGAGACACGGGCGCTGGCACTCAACCGGCGAGGTGCAGGTGTTCAAAAGGTTGCAATCTGGTTTGGGCTAGTTAGGCGGAGCTAAGAGACATCAATACCGACTGGTGGCCTGGAATGGTGAAAACCTGGTTTGCCGGGAACCACCCGAACCACTCGGGGGAGTCTGCGACCTCGGCTCAAGGCAGCTCAAGGAGCGCGTAAGATCAGGTGTGCAGTCCTGAGATCCCTGCCACACTCGTAGAAGCAATGATGGCGTCAGCTGCGCTCCCAGACATCGACAAGAACTCAGGGGGAACGCACACAGGAGAGCAGATCATGCTTTGTCACTTAAGTCCTATTGCTGTATCAGATGATGTAGCCTTTTTCAGGTGTTCGGGAGTTTGCTTTGTGCTACAGTAGCGTGCTGAAGGCCGAAGCGCGTGTGGGACAACAATGATGGACGGAGAGCCAGAACAACTTGAGACTAACGTTGTCGAGGCCTGCCTGCCTATTTCCCAAGGACACAACAAAAAGATTGAACCCTGACACAGGAAAGAATGGCTTGATCACCGACACTGGAAAGTGGCCTGATTCGCGCCATCCGAGCTAAGACCGGAACCCAGGAGATTTCAAGCGCTGCAGTTTGATTGACTTGCCCACCTGACTCAAGCTGCAACTGGCGACTGTGGCTCATCAGGTTTGTGAGTGCGGGGCCTGTTAGCGCTCCGTCGGTGTACAGCTGCCGGAAATACAACTCGTCATAGTACGGTTCAAGCACCATTGGTGGCATCACAGAAAATGACCTCGGCTGCGCTGCCAGTAGACTTGGCAAATCTTGGCGAAGCTCCGTACAAACATCACAGCATGCACGGCATGCATCGCATCCATCGCATCCATCGCATCCATCACATCCATCGCATGCATACCACCGAACTGAGCAAAAGGCATGCGGTCTCCCGGCTCCACAGGGATCTGGATCACTTTCTCAGCGCCTCTGGCCAGCGTGCCCGTGCGCTTCACCTCACCTCAGCTGAGAGCCACAGGTCCTCCTTGATGGAAGGAACACAAACCCACTATTTTGCAACCGAGGTCTAGGAGTGGTTCCAAGGCACCTGGTACCGGCACCCGTAGCCCATGTGGGAATCGCTGCTCGAAGGGAGACCATTCCTTTGCGACGGCCACAATATAGCATTACAAAACAGTGCTTTGCGGAAAAACCCGTAGGCCATACTGGCCCTGCTCAGTCAAGCTTCGTTGGCCTCCGCAATGGTGAAGCCTTCGTCATCCAGGATGGCCTTGGCAACGGAGGGCTCCGCAACTGGCTGCTTCTGCGTATTGAAGGCGTTTGCTCCGGCATGCTGTGGCAATCCCATCAACGACTGCTCATCGCCACCAGTAGATGTCCGTCAGCGAACGGGCTCGGAAACTGAGAAGGACGGATTCGGAAACTGGCGGGAAACTGCAACTGGAAATATCCTGATTCGGAAAACAGGACCCCGGGGTCGGAAACCGCTGCTTCGGAAAATTGGAAACCGCATCCTCGGAAACTGGGAAATTCCAGCTTGAATCTTCCAGTGCAAACATCTTCATCCCCGCCCAAGTTTCCCCAGTCATGCGTTGGAGCATGCAGGCATGCTCTCGCAAGTGACATGTACTGGCAGGGACGGGGCTGGAGCCGTGGCAGTTTCCACAATGGCCAGGTTCCTAAACTGGGCAGTTACCCGTCAGGCTCCTGAATCGGGCAGCTTCCGGTCCGAATGCTGCTGTTTGGCAGCCAATCTTGGCTTCCTGAATCACGCCTAGTCTCTGAACCGTGGCAGGCTTCCGACGCTCGAAGGCGCGACCACAAACGGCAACTCCAAGTTGGAGTCCAAGCTGATGTAGAAGGTGAGTTGGTGAGTTGACGTGTTCAGTGCACACAAACATATTGTGACTGCAAGCAGCACACTTAGTGGGCATGAGACGCTTTGCTCGTGTCCTCTCCAGACCGGACCCGATATTACCCCAAGCACCGACCGAAGCCGACGATCGTAACAAGTCAAGAACACTTGTGCCGAGAACTTGGAGCCCCAGCCTTCATCAGAAAGCCAAAATCTACCCCTGCCCTGCGCCTGACTTTTTCTAGTTTTGTGATTGAGATCTCAGGTGGACGAGGCTTCTGGCGCCACAAAACAGCCCCATTCGTTTACGAAAGACGAGTCTCTCCAGAACCCGCCCTCTCCTAGTCGAGACCCGTAGTCGACCTATGCCTCATCCCCTGATTTGAAAACCTACTTCTTCTTTATTATGCAGCCGTGGCACCCAGCTGATGTTGCTCCAGTTGCCTGCGCCAGTCCAAAGCAAGAGACTTGTGGGGGACGGCGGGAACGAAAGCTAGCGCAGTTGCTCGAAAAGCCACAGGAGAACGGCGTCGACCGAACAGGCAAGTGCTACCTAGTGCACTCAGAAGGCAGTCGGAGTGCCCAGCAATGCCCAACCGCAAAGTATTCCCACAGAATCCGTGGAGTGTCCAGCCCCAAGAGCATCCCCACAAAATGCTTGGAGTGCCCAACCTCAGGAGCATGCCCCAGAGTGCAGAGCATCACCAAAGACTCCCTAGAGTGCCCAGCCCAAAAAGTACTTTTCAGAGAATCCCTGGCGCGCCCAACCCGAGAGTATTTCCATAGAATCCCTAGTAGGTTGCCCAGCCCTAAGAGTATCCCCAGAGAACGCCCTGCAGTGCAACCCAGAGTATCCCCAAAGAATCCCTGGAGTGCCCAACCTTCGAAGTCTTCGAGTGTTTACAGAGAATCCCCGGAGTGCCCAACAGGAAAGTATCCAAGGAGAATCCCCTGAGCATTAAACTCACCCGTACATGGTTTCGACGCTGCACGCTGCGCATGGAGATGTAGTAACGCGGTTTCACCATCACCCCAAACACACAAAATAACCCCTCACCACACACTGTGCGTGCAGCACCCAAGCATTCCCACTAAAAGCACACGTCTCTCAGCCGCTTTGCCCGCGCCTGGTGTGATCTCAAGCTCCCTGAGGACAGGGTCCAGCAAGCAAACATATTGGAAAATGGCATCGGCATATGTGACATTCGACTGCACACTTGCACTCTACGCAGATCTGAAAAGGGCTACGGTCAGCGACTTAGGCTCATGGCACCAAACTTCTAACCCGCCAAGCAGCAAGAAGTCTCCAGACCTGGTATCGGCAATGACATCCTCCTCAAAACGATTCGGGGAGAATCACACAGCTACCATCCACGCAGAGTCTCTGCAGAGGCAGGTGATTCTACTGGTATCGTGTGGCTGTTGAATATCCCTGAACCCTCGAGTCCACGTCTGGAACACACTCGGACTACTGGACACACTGCTATACTGCTAAAAACTGATCAAGGCTCCTGGAAGAAGAAACCATCCGCCAACGTACCTGTCCAAGTTCTCTCAGGACCTGGACAATTCGCAGATGCAGTCTGGGCTGCGCTTGGTGCTTCCAAGCCAGCACTCTAAAGCTCAGCCAGGTCTCGGCGTGGGTCATCCCGCCTCAGCCTGACATGCGCCAACGTCGTGGTGTGCTCGCAGCTGGGGCGAGGAAACAGGAGACAGGAAAGCCCTGAACGCCGAAGATCATCGAAACCTCAGGAGCCAAGCCCAAAAAGATCGTAAAACTTTCTAAACGAATTCCTACCTGTAGGAGGCGCCACTCCAGCCGCTGGGACTGCTGGATCTCATGATGAAGCTCACATTCACAAAGCGTCCTTGCAGATTGTCTGAACGACGATTTCGCTACAAGCTCTCTTCAGAGATCTGCCTGTATCTGAGGAATGCCTCATTCAATGTGATTGGAAAGGGCCTTTGTGACATTGAGAAGGCAACAGCAGAGAAGGTCTTGTCAGACAGGCTTCGGGAGAAATTGCGAAGTACAAACCTTGCGCCGTTCCAGCCGTCGCCAGCCGCATCAAACAGGCCGATGGACCTCAAAAGATCAGGCTTTGCTGACGGCTTCGCGGACGGCTTCGCTGACGGTGAATCTGAGGGCTCAAAGCAGCTTGCTGGCTTTCAACCAAGGCTGAGCTCGGCACAGGTAAGTTCTGTTGGCAACGAACGTGGTGGAGGTCGTGGAGGTGGTAAAGGTTGTGGTAAAAGTGGTGGTTGCTGTCACGGACGTACGCCAGTCCGAGTCCGACCTCATGGCTAACATGATCCCTTTCCATATGTTGGCGGGCTTGTTGCACTTGTCACATAAAACAGGGCTTGAGATTTGGCCCTTTATGAGCCTGCTATGTTGAATAACAAATACTGCTGCCATGGTACCTATCAATTCGCTTCGTTTCATCTCTTGGAAACAGAAATGCATGGGCGCGTGAGCATAAATCAACAGATAGCGAAGGAAGAGCCTAGGCTGCCCACTCGTTGGTATCATTGAAGGTGTCGTTGAAGTCACTCCTGATGAAGCCGGTGAGCAGTCGAAGCACGGACACCATCTCGGTGTTAGGGCCGTGAGCTGAGTCATGTAGCTTGCACCTATACGCTTAAAAACGCCTAAGCTTTGGGATTTTTGCAGTAGGGCCTGGTGTGCACACAAGCCTGAATGGAAAGGCAAGGACGATCAGGGCGTTTGTCGTTCAAGACTTTGCTAAACTAAGCACATGGCAATCTGACTGCAGTGCTCGTCGACGACCTGTCATGACGAGCTCGAGATACAATGTGGGCCGCATCCGTATGTCTGCATCTGCAACAAACTTTGCAGGGATGGCAACGTGACTGTGGCAGTGCTCGTCGATGACCTGTCATGACGAGCTCGGGATACAATGTGACACGCACTCGTCTGTCTGCATCTGCAACAAACTTTGCAGGGATGGCAACGTGACTGTGGCAGTGCTCGTGGATGACCTGTCATGGCGATCTCGGGATGCAATGTGACACGCACTCGTCTGTCTTCTGCAAGAAACTTTGCAGGGATGGCAACGTGACTGTGGCAGTGCTCGTCGATGACCTGTCATGACGATCTCGGGATACAATGTGACACCCACTTGTCTGTCTGCATCGGCAATAAACTTTGCAGGGATGGCACAGTGGTGCTCGTCGACGTCCTGTCATGAACGTCTCGGGATACACTGTGGCACGTACTGGTACATACATCTGAATCTACAATCTACAAGAAACTTTGCAGGGATGGCAACGTCTCGCCAGTGCCCGTCGACGACCTGTCATGACAATCTCGGGATACACTGGGGTACGTACTGGTACAACAAGTTGAGCAAGGATAGCGTCGCCGTAACAGTGCTCGTCGACGTCCTGTCATGACGAGCTCGGGATACTCCACGTGTCACCGAGATATGCACATCTGAGTCTGCCATGTCAACCTCATGGTGATCCCAGAACTGCCCTCTGGATGAGCTCATGCCCTCACGAAACAGTTCTGCAACTGCTCCGTCAAACTTTGCCAGGCCAGCTGGAGCGTCAACTCCTGCACAGGGACTGGGTGCCTGCTGTGCCTATCGACGACTCATCGGAGCCAGTGAGGGTAGCAGGGCCATGAGATCCTACGAGGGCCGCCAAGACAGCAACTTCGGCTCCTGTGAGCACTTGCGGTAGAAGGTTCTATACTCGGAGCTGGATCCAAGGTAGAGGTCCGACCCGCTCATCGCGAAGCTTGAAAAGCCTTGCTCCATGCAGTTTTGTTGCTTCTCACAGACAAGAGGGCACCACTGCGCACAGCGTTGAACGCGCTGTTCTGCTGACGAGGCTGCCATACATGCTGGGGAAGGTTGCGCTGGCGTCGACGACGGCGAAAAGTTGTTGGCCCCAGTCGAACTGCACGATCTTGGGAGAGGAATCCTTGAAGCCACTACAGCAAGAGACACGGTCCAATGTATATTCTCTCCCGCAAAACCCTCCCCTAGGTGTTCGGGACAGCTGTTTTCAATTGTCGCGTCAAGCATCACATGGCCACTTGCTGCGTGGTGCAATAGCTGCATGAACGTTTGCCATACTTGCTAGAGACCAAAAACAGACAGAGTTCGGCCAGGGCACAGAGACCAGGTATCCATAAGTTCCATCGTGCGAACCGTACGCAAAGCCAGTGAAACTCGCGGTACGTATCACGCAACATGATGAGCAACGGTCAAGTTCAACATGTGCACACTCAATGCTCAGGACTGCGTGAGTCTACATCTGGCCTATGTTCGCTGAAATCCTTCTCCGCCGTAAAGGTCATGGTGTCCAGAGCGTATTGTATCAGTTTCGGAGTGCTGGTGCATATGACAAAGCCTGAGTTGCCTGGGTGTTCCAAGAGTTCCACGTCTCCTGATGACCCCTTGTGCATATGTTGCACGACTCTCATGGCTGTGGGTTCTGAGCTGCAGGCCAGAGTTTTCGGAAAACGTGGCAGAGAAGGCAACGTACTGCGATGACACGGCTTCCAGGTCCAGAACACTGTCCTCTGGGCATCGGGTCGTGGAGCAGAAGTCTCACAACAATCCCAATACGAATCGAGCCCTCACTGCCATTCTTTCTCAAAACTGCAAGAACACAGCCGAATCCAGACGCGGGCACACGGTGGGCACACCATGGGCACACAGCCGACACGCACTCTCAGACTCACACCTGTTGAAATCTCCTCGAAAAATAGCAATACTCCCGAACTCCGCTCCACTCGAACCACTCTGCCACCACGCAGCGACAGAGAAACTACCAAGATCAATCTTCACGATCTTGCCCGTGTTTTGGTACGATGCGTCCGCTTTGGAGGCCAGGAATGCGAAAGCACCGGCTAGTTCCTGTGATTTAAAGACATGCAGCGCTGTGCAAAGCTTGCGCAAGGATGAGGAACGCTCAAGTCTAAGAGAACCAAAGTGCGGGCATGAGCGTCGACAAATCCAGGTTTGAGGTTTGCCAGGGCAGCGTCAATCAACGTCAGATCCAGATATCGCACACTTCCGCTACCTCCAGGCAGTCTTTTAGGCGCATGCCAAGCGGCCGCAGTGCTGAGAGAACTGTGCTGTGCCGAGATGCTGAAGTCGGCACTCATTTCTACAAAGTATCCAGTCTCCTGTGTAGACATGGCGAGACAAGCTCGAATGAAAAGACACAGCGCATGCGTTTCCCTCTAGTTTCCAACTCGGGGACTGCACTGAGCGTCTCTAGACATGTCTCCTCGGGCACCAGGAAAATTTTGCCGCCACCTTGAAAGCCACCCGAGAAGCTTCTCAGGTTCGAATCCACCTGGGTCCAGACGCGGAGGTCCAGTCTGCGAAAGTTGTAGCTGTGGGGCTGTGGCATCCCCGCCTGGCTTAGGTCCAACACTGCTGGGGCAGGAAGTGAGAAGGTTGCCTCAGGAGCAAGCTGCTGACACGGACCTGCTCAAACCTCAAACAACCTGGCCACCGCGCTTAGTAGGCTTGTCTAGTAGCTGACTGTACCAATTTGTACCAATGCGCAGCAAGGTGGCAAGATCAAAGCGTACCACATTCGAGCCACTATACCCGGGAAGCATGTATCCTCGGGCCAAAAAATGATGGGCTCCAGCGGGATCGTTCAAGAGGGCACGTGCAATCAAAAGACAGCCGTGTGGAGCACAGAGCCGAGTGGCCAAAAGCTCCATCCGAAAGGCCAGCCGAAAAGCCGGCACCGGCCAGACCAACTTGGAATCAATGGTTTGAGATATTCTTTGGTCGGTTCGCAATCACACCGTTCTTGCTGCAGTCTCTCTACCTACACAAAGGACAAGAAGTCCGATCAACACAACAGCTAGCAGACTGCCAAGAAGTCGCTGTACTTGGCAATGTCAAGGAAGGCTTCGAAATGAAATGTAGCCGAGGTCACGTGTGGAGAGGTCCAGGTACCCATAAACCTGGAACGTTGCCAAGTCCATTCGATGAACCTTTCAAAGTGGTCTCCAACGTCGCATCACCGATATTCAATGAGTGCCCCTCTAGTCAGAAGGCCGTACCTCCATGAAAGACATTGGCAACGTGTACAAGTAAAGGTCGTCGCTGAAGACCTGCCCGTCTGCGGCTCTAGCGGGCAGCTTCAAAGGATAACAAAGGTCAAGGAGTCAATGATAGTCAACATGCGACGAATAAAGCCGGGTTACACCGCCAACACTGGTAACGGACATTGGCAGCACATCGGAATAGTTCCTGTGTTTGACATGCGCAATGCAAGCAACAAAACGGCGTGCCCGAATTACTCGGGCTTCCACCGGCTTTCATTTGGCATCTCAAGTCAGAAACCAGAGCCAAGCCCGTGCGCCAAAGCCACAAGGAGAATACTGTTGGGCCAGAAAAGGGAGACTCTTCTGCACGGCAACAAGCGGCAAGATTCGCTCCGCTCTCAAGCAGTTCAGGTCCAAGCGTCTGGAAGTCCTGCCCCTCGAGGCAAGCAGTCCGCTCGGATTGTACGTAAGGCCTGTGATGATGTGATGCCCTAATAGGGCTTCGGACCAAAAGCACTTCGCGCTTGCTGTCAAATCCCACCATGGGCTTCTCAACATAATCAGGACTCAAGCATGGTGAAGCATGGAATGAACGTTTGCAAATTGCGTGTATATAAATACAAAAAACATGCAGATACAATCATATACATAATGCTTGATATTATCAAGAAGCATGAAGCCAAGGCGCTGCTCGTCCTGCGACAGGGCAAATGCTGCAAGTGTCAAGAACTACGACTTCGCCGCAACTGACACGTCGTTCATGACAATCAGTAGGCCGTCATGCTGAGCACAGCTTGATGTTCAACAGACTTTTCACACGCCCATCGGGTCCATGCAAATGCGGATGAACTCATTGAAATCTTGGCTGCGAAGCTTGCATGGATTCAAGCTAAGCATATGCTTCGACCAGCTGCTGATCATCAGAGCCGGGATGGAGGTTATTGCACATAAATCAAGGCAGGACTTGTGCAACTACAGAAGTTTGCGATGGCCCTTTGCTTCTTTCAGATGTATTCAGACAAGCAGCTCGTCGAGGGCATGGCATAAAATCGGCCCTGAACCATGACCATGTCGTACAACTGAGTCTCCAGATCTGCCTCAAAAATCTGGTCACACTGGCGCATCCCTTTGTACAACCGAGTTTGCTTACGTGTGATGCAAGCACCACCACTACATTGCTTCCACGAGTGAGAGTGGGATAAGTCGGATGAGTAGGCCTTGACGGTAGATGCGGAGAATTGGCCGAGGCTGAACTCGATCAGCTTGCCCATGTCCGAGACCTCAGGCAAACGCAGCGACTCCGGCAGGCCGCTGTGATCTGTGTCTTCAGGCTTTTCAGGCAAGCTGCCATGAAGCCACTGTGCACGCGCGAGTTGCCCGTGAGGTAGCTCACGCCTACACAACGGCGATACTTCCTCCTCATCCTTTAAAGCCAAACACAAGCCATGGCATTCGTTTGGCATGTATATTATGGATATGCGGATCAGGGTCGCTTCAGGGTCGACTGAGGGTCCTCCGTCCGTGAATCACATGATATCACATGTGTTTCGTGCTCCCTCCTCCCTTGTGAGCCTGTCGCGGACACATCCAGATACGTCACTTCTGACGCAAGGAACGTACTGAGCGGGAATCGTGCGATAATTCCAGTGCTGGCTGGAACCAAGTAACCTCAGACAAGTGAGCACCTTGCCAGCACCATGTCACTGCCCATTGCGGGCGATATGGTAAGAACACGACACAGCTGCCAAAGATGCTGCTGTTGTGTGGTCTCTGACAAGATGCCCCTACTATGCCCTCAAGCCGACACTGAATGTGCGTGCAAAACAAGAGTTGCAATCAAGAAAGCGACGACATGCCGCGACATGACAGGTTACTGGCAATTTACGGCAAAGGGAAAACGTGGCGAAATAAGCCCGACACCGAATGTGCCATCGTGGAATCCATCGTTGAACTCCTGCCGATGAGGCTTTCACAGGGTCTGTGATTTTGGAGCCCATGCTTTCTTCAGAAGTTTGCTGTTGAGTTGTTGGGTCATGGGCTCTCCTTGGCATCTGCATTCTGTGCAGCCACGTCGAGCACTTCCACGGTGCTGAAGGTAGCCTTAGCTGCGCAAAGCCTGGAGAAAAAAATCTGAGCTGAACATAGCTGATCGCTGTGACGGGCATCTCGCTGCATTTCATATGAGTTGGGTGGCAAGGTCGAAGCGCACGACCTTCCCCGAGGCCTGGTTCGACTGGGTCTGGTAGGGCACAAGGTACCCCCAGGTGCCTCTGCAGTGAAAAGATTCCGACTCGAGACGTAGTTGAGAGTTGACGTGTTCTGACAGCTCCTCTTCGTGCAATCAAGCGGCCGTCTGAGAAACCATTCCGGAACTTCCGCAAGTCCTAGCTCTGGCAGCCACTGAACATCAAGACCAAGGATTGTCAAAGAATCCGGACGCGAAAAACCTGAAACCTCTGAGTCCCAGGTACACTGTCGATCGCCGTTACGTCTAGTGCCATGATGTCACCGAAGCTGCTTCCAAGCTGGAAGCGCGCGACGACTCCATACTCTGCCGGGACCTGAGAAAGCTTGTGAGCTTATGGTCAAGAAGCAAGGCGGCACCGTGTCAGATCCAAGCAGCGCCTGGGGCTCAAGTAAGCCCGGAACAAGATAACCATAGCTGTCATCGTGGAATCCACCGAAGAAACTTCTCCTGGCACACCAAGTAGCACCCCACGACTCCATCAACGACACGACAACACAAAGCTTAACTGCCTACCAGCCCAGATAAGCCGAGAATCAAATTGCCAGACACCAGCGAGAGGTCTGTGCTCTGAACCCACCTGAGCCGCGAGACTTTGCGACCTATCTTCAGACATCTTCACATGTCCTCACATATCTTCACGTATCCTGACATACTTCACATATCCTGACATCTTCTCAGGTATCCGATGTACTCTGAACACGTTCACCAAGAAGCGAGGGATGCCACTCGTTCAAGTCGACACGGAGGAGCAGACCGTTGCCGGACGCCGGCACAAGGTAGCTATAACTTCCATGCACAAAGCCTGCCAAGATCAGCAAATCACAGACAACCAATGCAGCAAGGAACTTTGCCTAACGAGGTGGCAGACTATATTCGACACAGCGGTGACCACATGTCTCATGAACTCACACCGCTGCCTTGCTCGTCCGTACAAGTACAATCACATGAAAACTTGCCGAAGCCTCCTTTGTATGCCTGACTCGTCGGCAGGTCAACGAAGGATACTGTATTCTGGAGATCCTGACTCTGATCGCTGGTGAAGTCAAATGCATGACAAGGTTTGGTTCCGCTTGATGAAGCACACGAAGAAGAACAACGAACAAAGACCAAGATCGGCAAAGCATGGCAAAACCACCTCATGGAAGGAACCCGCAGTCCCAGTAACGGCAGGGCAGTGGCACCACGGACCAGTCTTGACGGTTGTTTGCTACTGAGCGTTTGCATGTATCTCCAGAATTGTTGCCAAGGGCGCATAGCGGAACAACACGGAACGCTGGTGTGGAATGAGATAGATGTAGGTGTCATCGGCAAAAGCACCTCGGCACATGCATCCATCTCTCCGACATGCTGCAAGGCTCTGGCAACTGATGCATGCCGTGGAAACATGAGTAACGTGGCTGCGGCATAGGGCTAGATCACCGAGTTGCTGGTCAAACCCGTGTAGTCACTGTTGGAATACGCAATGGTCTTGCTGGAAACCTTAGTTCACCATCTTGCACTCTGCCGAGATGTGCCTGCAGCTTGCACCATGCGCTGCGAAACTCGTTCCCAAACTCTGCCACGGTCATCTGCGAAAGAGAAAAAGTCCACGACCTGAGAGACATCCCTCACCAAGTAACACCACTGCAGAAGCCCGGCGACCTCAGTAGAAGGCACACAGGCCTGGCATCGAATCATCACGCTTCTCAACACATTCAACTTCAGAGGCAAAAGCACAACCGCGGTGCTATCCGGCAAGAATCACGTGGATGAGAGTGCAAACGCAACACCAACTGCTGAACATGTTCAATTTATGTTCAACATCCACCTGCCCACTCGTGCAAGCAAGCCACACATAGTCCTCCACAACACAGGTCAACGCACATGTGCTCTTGTGAAAGCTACGGCAACTCGTTTCCAGTCTCAACAACAAATGCCAGAAGTCAATTAAATGCTTTCCGACTGCCAAGCTGAACATACTTGCCGACCAAGCATGCAAGTTCCATGTGCATGCCACTGTCTGAAGCTCCTGGCACACCCGATAAAGTTTGGTGTAGTCCATGTCGCTAACCAGGAGAACATCTGAGAGGCTGGAGGTTGCGGCGTAGAAGGAATACGCCTCGGAGCATACCAGCCAGCAAATCCAACTACAGGTCGTCTTGTTGCATCGGAAGGGCAAACGCCCAAGGAAAGCTGGCAGGATTCCCCCCCCCCTCGCCCGTCCTTGGCCGGGGACCATGGGGGCTGATTGCTTCGGCGCCCAGCAACAGGTGACTTCGAGCAAGCACGCAAAGCTGCACACGGAGGACAGCAAGCACAATCCAACACGGGGGAGAGGCCGCATCCAGCCGCCACATCGTGCAAAACCGAACCCTACGCAGAGCTGTGGGCGCCATTTACAAGGAAGGGCTCGAATCGGCCTGAAATTTGAAGGGAGGTATCTCAACAGCAACCGGCCCATCTTGAGCGAGACTGGTAGGCCGGCCAGTCAAGGGCGACGGCGTATAAAAGCAGATTGTATATGGATTCTTGTGAAGGTGCCAGAAGGAGCCCAAGTTTACCTGGCAAATCCACCCTGGGGAGGTGCGGCAGCAGTGTCCAGTGGGTGGAGTCTTGGCATGGGAGGCTTGACGTGCTTTTGCTGCGCTCGTCGTACAAGATGCGATTATACAAGCATGACCTGCGGCATCGGGACCCTTGTGCATCTCGTACAAGTATTCTGAACACGGTAGCAGTGCACTCACAAACGCCGGACTTTTCTGCTGACAGCGGAACATCAAGACAAAATAAGACAAAGGCCATGGGAGTTCGTGTGCGGCGTTGGGGGGTCTTCGGCCAACGGAAATGTCACCTGCACCTCACCCTCACTCTGTGGAAACATGCTGGTGGATGCCAAGTGCATTTACGAGCGGTTTTCCCAGCAGCCCTAGTATTCGTAGTGACATGCAGAACATTGCAGAACCTCGGAGTCTTGAAACCCAGCCAGTCGAAATCCGAGTCACCGAGCTGTCGACCTTCAGAGGGTGGAATGGGGAATGCTTGCAATGTTTGCTTTGTTTGCAATGTTTGCAATGCTTTCAACATCTTGCAACTGCTGCAGCTCGGCTCCTCTACAAACGGCCTTGCCTGGCTGATGTCGACGCTGCCAGTGAGCGTGGCACTGGCCATGTCCAGCTTTCCGAGATGACTGCTCCATTTCTGCACCAGGTACGCCGAGGTGGCCCCTGGAAAGCCTCGCGCAGCCACTCATCTTGCTCACCCTTTCTTCCAGAAAACCCTCTCCCCAGAAGTCTACACATTCTTCTCTGCCTCTTCTACGGCTAGGACTAGAGCATCTCGTGATTCTGCCCTCTCCGGTTGGCCTGCCAAGCCATCGTAGGAAGACGTTGTCAACACCTTTGTTGCACATTGATCTGTCAAGGTCAGCGTGTTTGGGCTCTGTCGTAATGCCAGGGCCGGTGCCACCCACGCAACTGCAGCTGGATTCCCAGCTGCAGTGCTGCCGAAATCCACGAAGGAAAAGCGAGCCAGATGGGTGCCGGAAGAACCTGCATCGCACTTTGGACGTCTGGAGGAAACATCTGAGAATTCCAGAGGGTCATGCCTGGCAGCATGTACATGTAGGTGCCATCGGTGAATCCATCGCTGAAGCCCTGCGAAGTACCTCAAGACACAGAAAGATCGGTCGCGGTTTCTCGGTCTGAGCTCCTTTTCGCAGCCGCGGCCTCCACAATACGTCCCTCCTTCTCCATCCGATGCCCAGCCTCGCTTGCGCATGCTGCGGCCACTGATCGGACCGAGGTGTTCTCTAGAACTGTGAGCTTGTCTTTTTTGTGCCGGCGTTGCACCGGACCGAGGATACCAAGCTCGCGCAGCGCCGCCGAGACACTGAGAAGAAAACCAGCCCCGGTTCAACCACGTGCGCAACTAAACGTACAGTCAGGCTCAGTATTCTCAGGCTTGGAAGTACTTGCGCAGACCCACTCTGGGCATCCACCCGATGCTCTTTCTTTTCCAACCAGGGTGCCGTCAATGTTCCAGACCGTCACGGAGCTGGCGTCAAAGCTCCCTTCCAGATTCACCCTGGCCACCTGCAATGCGCAAATTCAGCCGCTCACAACAGTGCGGCATCGTCTGATACGGTGTTTGTAACTCAACAACAAAACACCAAGCCCAACAGTGCCCGCGTGCTCCGCTTGCTTTTATGCATGAGAGGTAAGCGGTTAAGCGCTTTGCGCGGCGCCCGCACGCCTTGCAGGAGCCCAGGCCGGTGTCGGGAACGTCGTGTGGCACCAGGTAGACGTGGTCGCCTGAAGCATCTGAGCTTCACGATGCTCACTATGCATCTTTCTTGGTGCTCCCTCTGTGTTCTACTGGTGTGTCCTGTACGGGTCTGCTTTATTTGGTGTTCTACTGGTCTTCCATCTTCTTCCAGATTTGCAAGCCGCTCATCTGGCTTTTCGTGGGCTTCTCTAAATGTTGCTGTGCCCTTGGTGGCGAATATGCAACTTCAAATTTCGCAGGTGAGCTTCGTCCTTCAAGGTGTCTATGAGTCCCTGGGTACATCTCGGCCAAGCTGCCATTCAAGACTCCTTTTCTGAATGTCCTTAGACCAACAGACATGTGCCAAGATGAGCCGTGAACAGAGCTTGCGTGTGCTCGGCCAGCGAAACTAATGTTGAGGCAAGACTAGTAAGAGGTCACAAAGAGACACAGGGATAACATGGGGAATCGTGGCATGCATGTTGCTCGGGTACGCGAACTTTGCCAGCTTGCTGCAGCTTGCTCAAAGCGTCCTCAAATCTGTATCCACCGTCGTGAGGTCCAGTAACACCACCGTGGAAAAGTCATCCAACTGGAACTGCGGAAATATACCTGCAAAGATCTTGCATCTTTTGGGCCCAAGAGAACTCGGGAGCACACAAGCCCTTAGAGGCCGTTGGATCTTAGAGGTCCAGAGGCATTGCTGCTACTTCTTGCTCGTGCTGGATCTACGAGAACTGCAGCATCTGCGAGAGGGTTTGAGGACAGTTTCTGGATGGGCGCTTGTCTTTCTGACCGTTTCTTTACTGACTTGGCTCTTGTGCTCTTTCAGCGCCGCATGAGAAACACCCCGCAGAGAACACCAGGCCGCAACAAGGCTGTCGGAGGACATCACGCCTCAAGCGCCCCAGGATCCCCAATCAACCCTCACGAAGGGCCTCCTTAATTGGGGCAAGCAGCCATCCCAGTTTGGCAGAAGGTAGCCGTGCCCTCCATGCACAAACCCACCTGAGGTCAATCAGAGAACTGCAGATGGACAAAGCAGGTATCGAAGGTGTAAAAAATAGAAACACTTAGTAAGGGTGTTGTACGACCAGCTCTCAAATTCGGTCTCTGCTGTCGCAATGTGCCGCTAGTACATCTACAAAGACTGAGCATCTCGGAGCCGAGGCCCGAGCCCCACCAGTTGTTCATGACCGTCGAAGGCTCCCCCTCCTCGGGGCGCAGCTACAGCGCGAGGAGCCCATGCCATTCAAGTATCAAGCATGCTCCCCAAAAGGCGCTTTCAAGTCACGGCACGTAGGCACCCTTCAGGTCCAATGAATCGACGAAGGTGAAGGTTTCCAGCCGAAAGCGAACGACGGTCTCGGCTACGGTGACTACGGTGACAACGGTGACTCACCACATCGCATTCATTCGCATTGCCACAAACACTCGACTCAGCCATACTTGGGGCTGCAGTTGAGGTGCAGCATGGTTCAAAGAAGGCAGAAGGTAGCCATAGTTGCCATCGACGATACCTCAGCGAATTCTACAAAGCTTCTCGCGATTCTCTTGCTGCAGCGCATTAACGTCTTGCGGCCAAGACGCCTCCAAAGTAGCTACTGTCCAGAACAGCCTGGAATGCTGTGACATGCCATGGACTTCTGTGAATGGTGTCGGAAACAGAGACGGTGCCTCTGCGTGTGAGTGCACATTCCTTTCTTGTCTGCAGAAGGGCAGCCGCAGGGAGAGTCATCATCTGGCTGGGCAGCGCGCTCGTGCTGTCAAGAAGCAGCTCGGAGCGAAAGAGGCCGTACCTAAGATGCTGATTGGGACGAGAGCACATAAACAATCTGCCCAATCTGCCGACATTCCGACGAACCGAATTCTCCAAGACTGCCTCCTTTGCATTGAATCAGAGCTGCGACTGGCGGAAGAAGTAAATGTACATATCGTCTGTGAAGATGCTTGTAAAGCTTGAGTAGTCGTTTGCTTGAGGCTCCGTCATGATGTAGAGAGACGCCTGTCCAGAAGTCCAAGTGCAATGCTCGGAACATGTCGGAACCATCGGCATCCCTCTTGTACCGCTCAAACCAACTTACAAAGTCTTGCTGGTAGTATCCAGCTGGCAACACAACACCCTCAGACACGAATGCGCACCCGAAGCGAGCCAAAACACGTTTACGAGGAGCACGCGCGGCCTCTTGCAGGCACTGCTCTCGTAGGGTGTGCTGCCGGTGCCTTGAAGTTTGAAAACAAGTGCCAATAGGCCCATGGCTCTACCTTCCCCATCCAACTTTGGAAGTTCACGCGGCGTGGGCGTGAGGTGTGTTGAGGGCTCTAGAGATCAGCTATGCGCCGCATGAACACGAGAACTGATTCATGCAAAAACATTCCCTCTCGACAGCGGGTCTCGAGGGTTCGACACCAAAGCCGACACTGGTTTTTTTGGTTTCTGCTGTGCAGTCCAGGACACATCCAGTCCTGCCGACAGCCCCACGCAGTCACGCTACATCGAACTACACTCTGCTCCACGGCCCTTCAATGTGCAAACACGGCCGCGTCTTCGCTGCTTTCCGATCTGAGCTTCCCGTTTCCCAAGGTCCTGGCAAATCCTGCCGAAGGAAGGTCCCACGGACGCGTCTTTGACTATGACCTTGTCCCCCACAAGAACTGCAGGACGAGGGCCGCTGGAACCAGTGTTCACGTCAAAAACGTCGTAGATGTTGAATGTCGCGAGGTCCACATGCACCTGCGCCACACCGAGTTCTCAAACATTGGCACGTACCACATTGCACTGGGCATGAGAGCGTCTAACGTATCATAAGGGGAGACGTTGAAAGCGGTTGTGCTGGCAGTTGCGAGTTATGGGGCCACTTTTTTGGGGCCACAACTCGGAGGACTGTAGCTGAGGCCAGCGCTACCCTGCCATCTTCGGCAAAGATGTAGGCGTAATTTCCCACCTGGAACACTGAGACCGCTGGAAAGCCTCAATCGTAGCCAGCCGAGCCTATGCCAAGCCTCTTCACCCAACAACAACTTGCAAATGGCGAGCAGAAGAAACCAAGTCTGAAAGTAGCAGTCTCCCTCCCACCTTCAGAGATCCGCTGACCGCGTTGCTGAGGTCACTGCTCCTTGGCTGACAAACGCTGGTAAGCAAAAGAAGAATTGATGGCATATTGAAGCAGATGGCAAGGGAACTAGGATGCTCCTGTTCCTGTAGGGTTTGAGCAGAAGGCTTTCCACTTTGAAAAGAGGGACATCTGAAACATCTTTTTGTCAGCTGGCGAAGATGTCACTTAACTTCTAGTCATAGCAGCAAGGACAGCGTCTGCTCTTCACCGAAGATGTCCAACCTGGCTTGAAGTGATCTCCCTTCTCGTGCTGCGCGAAAGGACAACACAGGACTGCAAGACCTGAACCGGACAAGGTCACCACCTGAAAGTCTTGAGATGCAACATGATGCAACGTGCACATGTATAGGAAGGATAAGGTGCCCCTAGCAGGCCCTAGCATGGGCAGAGCTCACATCTTGGAGCAAAGCTCGGTCCAGAACCAAACGCGTCTGAGGCCAACGCTCGAGCTCCCCATCAGATAGCCATACCTTCCGTCCTGACATCCAGCATCTACCTTCCAAAGCATGCCATCGTCGGGCCACCCTACACGACAAAGGATCTGCTGTCCTCAAACCCAGTAATGAAGCCTGCTGACGCGGACAGCTGAAGAACTTCCTTGCGAAACAAGCAGCTTTGCGGCATCCACAGACTGATCAGGATCACGATTCGGACGGCTGTTCAAGCGATAAAGTGCGCACTTGTAGAACATGCATGTGGAAGGCCAGGCCTTTCTAGCGCACAATGCAAACTGTGGCAGGTTTGACTTTCTCAAGGGCACGAACGCCTCGACTTAGATCTCAACACACGATAATCCAGCCAAACTAGTGCAACTGGGACACCACGTCTGCTGTAGTAAAGGATGCCAGCTTGAAACGGACCACCTTTTCACAGATGAAAAGGAAAGCCGGACTGGACACGTGGCTCTCGATCATATTTGGAATCTACTCGGCTTGAGTATTGTTTGGGGTGATGTTCATGCGTTGTTTTGAGTACGGCTTTTGGTGGATCCTGTTGCTCAGAATGGGCAGCTGCAGACTGTGAGTGTCGCAGATGAGACGTGCTGTGAAATCTGAGATCGGTCTTCACTGCTCAGCGTTCCGCTCGATGAGCAAAGCAGCGACATTTACAAACCAGCGATGGCCTTGTCACTAGGCGCGTTGGAGTTGTCCTTCCAGCATTTCCACGCTAGAATCAGAAAGGATAATACAGGAAAGTTGCCCCACACTTGCAGAGGCCCTTTTGCCGGCTCTCATTCCGACACACCTTTTCTAGTGATATTGTAAACAACTAGCCACTGACTAGCTGAGTAACCCAAGCTGAAAGACTTGCCCGTCAATCGACAGAGGATACAAACTGCAAACCATTTCGGCAACTGCATCCTGAAGAAACATGGAGCCAACGCAACCAACTGATCCACGTTGGCCCTTGTGTTCCATAGCTTCTATGTTCTACACTGCTACACAGATCCACACGTCCTGGTAGGGCACCAGGTAACCTGGCATGAAGCAAGGAGGAAGGAGCCCAGGTGAAAGGAAAGCCCCGACGTCTGGACAACCAGGGGTATGTTGCACGACAGTTTTTTTCAAATGCCGCCGTATAAATCCAAAAGCCTCCCTCCTGCTGCTGTCAGAGGTGCCCCACTCCTCAAAGTAGTACCCGCCAGAAAAATCCCGCAGCCTCCCATCCTGAAACGTCAGTCAAGAATCACAAGGTCCGAGGCCATCATCCGTGATCATCATGCACACTGGTTTACGGCGGATTCTTCCCAGATTCACCGGATAACCCCTCTCATGAAACTGACCAAGGCTCGACAGCTTTCAGGTCCAGTTCACTGACAGTGCCAAAAAGAAGCGTGTCTACTCTGCTGATGACGCCCTGGGACCAGATGCCAGGAAACGCGTACCTCAGTGAAATTAATTGGCGTGAATCGAAGAATCTTCCCACCAGATTGTAATGGGCGCCCATTCACCAGACCGAGGCACAGGAGACTTCCAGATGTTTTGCATTCTGCGCTCTTCTGCTGCAACTGTGGAAGCTATGCTGTCATCAACACCACACCCACTGCAGCATCTCAACAAAATGCAAGCTGCGCATACTCGCCGGCAACAAAACCACCCATGTAGCTCCTGTCGTCACGATTCAGAAAACTCGCAATCTCGTGCCAAGGATGAAGAAGCTTTACATACAGACATGGAACCGTTCCCTATCCAACTCTCTTTATTCTAAGATAGACTGAGTGTAATTCCTGATTCCTTTCTTCCTGACCGAACTCTGCCAATGTTCTGCGTTACTCTTCGGATGTTTGGCATGTACTTGAATCTCGCGATCACGCACTAAGTCACTAAGATGCAGTCATACTGGAAATCTCAGTCCGCCGCTTCTAAATCATTGCCCGAAATGCTTCCTGAATATACATGCTTGGGATCGAACTGCTACGTCGCATCAGGCTCTTACCTCAAGCTCTGATGTCTAAATCGGCAAAGACCGAGTAACCCTAAATACCTACTCCTACTCTTTCCCTGTGCCTGCATATCATACCGACCGGTGGAATTTACTTCTGGGTGGTTGTCACTTCTCCCTCTCTGTCAGGGTCTGTGCCCCACGGAGGTGGTAGGGCAAATCTCACTTCTTAGCAGAACTCAGGCTTCAGGCTGAAGGCCTGCGCTTGAAACATGCCAGCAACCACATGTAGGCTAACCAGTGCCCATTCTTCAACAAAGGGAGAAAACACGGATTCAGGAGCCACAGCTCAATCCGATTTTTAGCTTTGGGGCTTTGGTCTCTCCACAGGTTTTTCCTGGCAGACTATATGTGAGATCAGGAGCTTTGCCGGACATAGCTGCCAGCCTCAAACAACGCACGTCTTCAGCCACCCTTAAAAATATAGCTTCTGCAACTGTTGCGTTAAACTCTGGGGGATCTTGGTAATCTCCCCACAAGCAACCAGGGCCTGATAAGGTGGCGGCATATTGACATGGAATTCTCCATAATTTTGTGTTTTAAGCCCCGTGAAGAATCATGTATGTAAAACCCCCTTCCCTAAAGAGCAGGCGCAATGAAGCCATGGGATGAACAGGATTCTCAATGTATTCGTGAAATCTGATATCATACATGGCTTCACTCACACAAGCATGTGAGGATCTGGACGTGGAAGGTGTTTGGCGCATGGCGCGCCGAATCCCCATCAAACAGCGTGCCAAATGTCCCATCGTGACTTTTTTGGAGGCGACGCAGCTGGTTTGGTTGGCCGTATGAGACTAAATCATCCCAATCATGTTTGGGCACCGCGTATTTCTGTTTGCGTTCGATCCTGGCAAAAGGCCTGTCAGGCAGCGACAAGCAAACACCCAGTGGATTCGCGATTTCCTTTCCTTCTCCGCTCGCCCTCCCTCTCTTCATCGAACTTCATGTCACGTCGCTAATTCAGTGACTTCGACACTCACTCGTGAGGCTTAGAAACAATTCTCGGTGAGAAAAACATACTCCAACTCTTTGGCAGGCAAGGTAAGCATGAGCATGCCCATGTGTTGGCAACCCGGTCGTGTACGACAAGGTGGCGGTTTGGATGAGCCCACCGACGTCAAAGTCGCTTGTAGACACACGCTTGAAGGCGTAGCCAGAACCTGGGCGAGACTTCTCGTACATGGAAAGAGAGAGCCCCCCTTTTCTAATGAAAGTACCCCAATCACTCTAAGGCAACGTTCCGTCTGCTCCGAGGCACTATCTGGGACCAAGTAGATGTATTGCTCGGTTGGGTCTGTGAACCCTGAGGAGAAGCTTGAGTCCACGGCCAACTCTTGAACCTGGCTCCAGATGTACACAGGGAGAGGTACGTGTCATGCACAAAGCATTCTCGCACACATGATGCAAAGCCTGGGAAATACCCGGGTCAGGTACACCAGTCTACAAGTTCAAGAGTCGACGAGTTTACGAGTCTACGAGTCCACTACACAGCGCCTGAGTCATGGTTTCCGCATCCACGCGGAACAGCGTAGAACCAGAAGTAGGCACCTTCACAACACCGAACTGCTTCTGGTAACGTCATCATGATACAACTAGTCTCTGTTAGACGAATACCGATTAAGAACAACTGAACACATCGGCCCCTAGACATGTCGGTCGAAAGCCTACGTCCGTCCTTGCGATGACGTCTTCAAACATGTTTCAGACAAGTTGCAAAGTAAACGAAATCCGCAGCCACGACCATGTACCTCAGCTGGACAGCAGAATCGACTTGCATCATCTTGCCATCCACCATCACCGGAGTGCCCAGATCTAAGCCATGCCACTGGGGGTCCCCAAAGTTGGAGGGCCACGTCGTCGGGCTGGCGGTGTCAACCTAGAAAACTGTCTGAGAATCTGCTTCACACCATTTCACACCAAGTCAGACACACCATTTCACACCCGCTGGCCAAGCTGCAGCGTTCTGTGCGCACACACCTGGACCTTCGGCGCTGTCAGGGAATCTTTGACTTGTGTCCAGTGCCTATGTCGCTCGGCATATCGACGAATCGACACTTGTCAGCCAGCTGCCTTGAACCTGGAAAATTTGCATCTGCGGGAACTTCACGTCGTACCCATCAGCGGCCTTCAGATACCACAACCGCACAAGGAGATTTTGCCCTTGCACAGTAGCAAGAGCAAAACTCTTCAGCTGCCAAGTACAGGCACACAGATGCAGACAGGTACCGATCCTGCACAGTGGAGATGACGGCCCCGTCTGCTTCTTTCACTGCCTTTAACACTTGAAAACATCTGCAGACACTTCACACTTCAAGTTCTACAGCATCTAGAAGTTTCGTGCCATCTCCGAAAAGTAAGGCAATGAAGATGAGAGTCATAGCTGATCTGTGTCTCGTCTTCTGCTGATCCTGAGCGAAGAACGCCGAAAGCTGCATCCGCAGACTCCCCCAAAGTCACCCAGAATCAATTTGTACCAGCAGCCAACAAGTGCGCCCCTCACCCATCTACCTTAACAGGGGAGACGACTTTCTGTTTGCCAGGCGTCCGGCATGCACGGAGAGCGCCCTGCGCCAGCGAACGCTTTTTCAGTTGCCACGGAGAAAACCACACGAAAGACTTCAATCTCACAGTGCTTGCAGAAACTTTTCAGAGACGTGTGACACATGTTGAGAGCCCAGATGAACACACGGCCTCAAGCTTTGAGGGGGCTCTCCTCTTCCTTGCGGCCTTCTTTTTATGGGTTGTTTTTCTTCCTTTGGGGGGACGGTCCTTTTGCAGCCTTGGGACAAGGTGTCTCCAACCTGCGCCTGGATCAGCTGCACAGCGCCACTTCCAGATGCCAGAGACCCTTCCTGAACGAAGTTGCCTCGCGCCCAGAGGAGGGGACGAAAGCTTTTGCCCCGAAAGCGACTGCAAGTAAGCAAAGGGGTCTTTGATGCTTCTCGGAAAGGCCATTTCAGGGCTCCAACACAATAGCGCTTGTGCAGAAACCGTCAGAGTACGTCCCAAGGGACCACAAGGACCCGCGCATCAGGAGCATCAGCGGGCTTTCGTTTCTCCAAACATCCGCTGCCGTTTCTGAGGAAGGTTTCGTTGCAGTTGCTACTTGTGTTGAGTTTCTGAGCAAAGTTTCGTTGCAATTGCTACTCGTCTCGACGTTCTGAGCAAGATCTTTGTTGCAATTGCATTTTGTCTGAAGTTTCTGAAGAAGGAGACCTTGCTACTGCTGCTCGTCTTGAGTTTCTGGGGACCGTTTCGTTGCAGTTGCTACTTGTGTTGAGTTTCTGAGCAAGGTTTCGTTGCAATTGCTACTCGTCTTGAGATTCTGAGCAAGGTTTTTGTTGCAATGGCATTTTGTCTTGAGTTTCTGAAGAAGGAGACCTTGCCATTGCTTCTCGTCTTGAGTTTCTGGGGACGGTTTCGTTGCAATTGCTACTTGTGTTGGGTTTCTGAGCAAGGCTTCGTTGCAATTGCGACTCGCCTTGAGATTCTGAGCAAGATTGCTGTTGCAATTGCATTGTGTCTTGAGTTTCTGAAGAAGGAAACTTTGCCATTTGAGTTTCTGAGGAAGGTTTCGTTGCAATTTCTGGTTGTGTTGGGTTTCTGAGCAAGGTTCCGTTGCGACCTTGCCATTGCTGCTCGTTTTGAGTTTCTGAGGAAGGTTTCGTTGCAGTTGCTACTTGTGTTGAGTTTCTGAGCAAAGTTTCGTTGCAACTGCTACTCGTCTCGACATTCTGAGCAAGATCTTTGTTGCAACTGCATTTTGTCTTGATTTTCTGAAGAAAAAGACCTTGCCATTGCTTCTCGTCTTGAGTTTCTGGGGACGGTTTCGTTGCAATTGCTACTTGTGTTGGGTTTCTGAGCAAGGCTTCGTTGCAATTGCGACTCGCCTTGAGATTCTGAGCAAGATTGCTGTTGCAATTGCATTGTGTCTTGAGTTTCTGAAGAAGGAAACTTTGCCATTTGAGTTTCTGAGGAAGGTTTCGTTGCAATTTCTGGTTGTGTTGGGTTTCTGAGCAAGGTTCCGTTGCGACCTTGCCATTGCTGCTCGTTTTGAGTTTCTGAGGAAGGTTTCGTTGCAGTTGCTACTTGTGTTGAGTTTCTGAGCAAAGTTTCGTTGCAACTGCTACTCGTCTCGACATTCTGAGCAAGATCTTTGTTGCAACTGCATTTTGTCTTGATTTTCTGAAGAAAAAGACCTTGCCATTGCTTCTCGTCTTGAGTTTCTGGGGACGGTTTCGTTGCAATTGCTACTTGTGTTGGGTTTCTGAGCAAGGCTTCGTTGCAATTGCGACTCCTCTCGACATTCTTAGCAAGATTTTGGTTGCAGTTGCATTGTGTCTTGAGTTTCTGAAGAAGGAGACCTTGCCATTGCTGCTCGTCTTGAGTTTCTGGGGCCACCACCGAAAACTCATCAAAAAAAAGCCTCCAGCGGGCACAGCCCCAAAAACCAGCACCAGCCCGGGATTAGCCCGGCTTGCGCTGGGTATTAACGAATTGCTCCCCTCAAGTTTGAGGGAGGAGCTTTCGTAAAAACAGAGGCTGTGTCTATTCGAAGCACTTTGACAGAATATGTAAAGAAGCTCACACTGAATATCTGAACTTCTATGGTTGCATAGCTTGGGGGTCGGGATTTGGTTTATGGCTCAGGGCTTGGGGCTTCGCTTAAGATCCAGAGTCCAGAGCTTGGGCGTTAGGGTTTGGGGAGGTTGTCGGTTTGTCAGAGTGTGGGGTTTGCCCTTACAATGCAACCGAGGCGCCTGGCACATAGAAAGACCGGCTGGAAGGGAACTGGTCTGTACTCGGGTCCATTGCCTTTACCGTCTTTACCGATTCAGATGTGAAATCATGTGAAATCATGTGAACTACGGGTCGATCTGACTGGGTTTCTGTGTTTGTCGATACGAAGTGCTGCTGCAAACGACAAGCGGGGGGGAAAAACATAGAAGTAATACTCGTAATATACGACAAAATACACCGCTTAGAAAGGAAATGCCAACTGTTCATCCGTGTCTCTCTGAACTCCAGAATGGGAGCATCCAGGACAGTCTCACCTTGTGGTTTGCAGGCTTTGCACTGGACTGCCTTGGTTCCGCGAGTCACACACACAAGTGCAGCCGAACGTGTGGGCACGACTACAAAACTTGACGATTACAAAATTTGGGGCTAGTTTTGGAGAGCCATCGTTTACTGAGAAGCAAACACACACACATGCAAGATCATGCAAGCTATCAGACTCAATAGACTGCACCGGCTACACTGACCCCACTCTGGATCTGCTATCGGCTCTATGCCAACATTCGGAGTAGAAAATGTCCATCGGAATCAAGCGGCCCAACCAACCTCGGTGGATTGTGAACCTGAGCATATGCAACAACTGAAGCCCCACGGATGCGGTCCAGGAGCACTTGCCTTCACCAAACAAACATCTCACTCCGTTTTTGAACCTTGCTAGCAGAGCCCCCCCGCTCCAAGCTCCGCCAGCTTCGACATCAACTGTGAACTAACTCAATCCAACTCCATCCAACTCCATCAACTTCCATCAACTTCCATCAACTTCCATCAACTTCCATCTCCAGATATCTCCAGGGTGCCTTCGGTGACCGTGAGCTTCCTTAGGTAAGATGGAGGCTTGCCTTCACATGAGGGCCGTGCTGAACATTCCCCTAGCCGAGCTCCACTCCATTTGAGCAACCCATACCCACTTTAACTTTGAGAATTTTGCAGCGTTCGGTCCCTGATCTCACAACTCCCTCATCCTAGAGAACAAGTACGAGAAGTACGAACTAGCGATGTTTGGCTTAGCGGTTTGCACGCAGCCAGGTCACAGCTCGGTTCCAGCAGGAACTAGCCCCAACAGCACCTCACTCTCCATCCTCTGAAAGACTGTCTCCCAAGGACACCAGTCATGTGCGGTGGAAAGGTGGGTACGGCGGCAACTGCCCCAACATCATGCTATATCATGCTAAACCAACCAGGCCTAAAGAGCCTTTGGCGGTCTCAACGGCACCTCCACCGGTCCAGGCTCGTCCACCAGGGTCCCCGTCAGTATCGAGGCACCTTGGTGAGTCTTTGCGACCGTGACTTCGTATCTTTGTATCCCCGAAACCTCACCTTCCAACTGTCGCTGAAGCGAAAGCTTCTTTAACCTCTTTCGAAAGAATGAAGCAATGTGTACATGACTGTGTGATTTCGTGAACTGTGTCCTGGTTTTGACCACAGCACGCTTTCATGCCCCAGAGGCAGGACGTTCAACCTCCCTATCCAATGCTGCCGGTAAGATCTATAGTGTCTTTAATTGCACAGCTTGTAGCTTGTGATCTCGCAGGCCAGTGCCGGCCCTTGCTTAGACTTGTGACTGTGCCCAAGCGTCACGGATTACAGGGCAAAACGAGGTTCGAGTCTGTGGCGAAAATCCGTGCAGCCTTCTGGTGACAATGGCGTCCCATGCAAGTGAGGCTCCGTGCACGTCTGTAACTTCGAAGGAGCCACCCCACCACCCTGGGTTTTCATCATGATGGGCACGCAGATACTTGCACCGCTTCCGAACACGGACTGCCCCACCACAACAAACTTTCTGAGGAACACGCGACCTTGAGCCTGAAGAGGTTTCACCATTGAAACTGCCGAGACTCCGTTGGACGCGTCGCCGGTCATGACAACGGCTATTTCGGTCGAAGTGCTACCTTCAAGCAACGACAAGGTATCCCTGCATATCCCTGCAACATGCTTCCATTGTTAACTTTGGACTTTGGCATACATCGTCAATCATTTCACCGCAACCAAAGCCTTATGGCCATATGGCAACACCACTAACAGCACAAGAACCATGGCTCCAATGATGTCCAGGCTCCCGAAGTCACATTCCAAACCTCGACCGCAGTGCCAGCTGTCCATCCATTGTCGGCAGAATCATATAGCGCCAACTGAACGGACCTTGGCTCATCTCTGCTTCGGGTGGCCAAGGCGCCAGGACATTCTGACTTCATGAACAGATCACACTCGGGTTCGAAATATGACGGGAACATTGGACACACATCAGAAGAAGCCAAGCTTTCAAGCTTTCCAGATACACCGCTCCGATTCATTAGACCTCGAGTGAAACTCAGCAAACCTGCGTGAGGCAAGTCTCGTCGCAGGTCGAACTTCCTTGGTACAGAACGATCATGGACGAAAAACAGCTATCCTGAAGCAACTCAGAAACGAAGCTGAGCACCGAGAGCGACATGTTGACCATGTCAAAACAATTCACTTTGTGCAGAAGCGGCGCTGCCTGAACACACGCTGCATGAAAGCACCTGATGCAAAAACATCCGTGGCTGAACGAACACCGCACGTCGGATTGACAACGCTATGGTATCCTTGTGGTAGCACGCTGGTTCTGCGACATGACTGAGGCTGCAAAGACGCCAATTGCCTGCCCTCCTGGTGCCCCTTTTCGCAATTGCAGCCCACGTCACGCAATGATGATGCAACCATACCAAATCATAGGCACATGTTGGGCACACAACCTATTGTGCCGTATCCTGAAGAGTATTAGCCGACCATTGTAACTGGAACCCACGACACATGCTAAAGCGTGCACGCGATGCATAGGCATTGGCAACCAATCACCACCAATCACAATTCACCCGCAAGCCACATGTGTATGCCGAAAAACAGGAAAACGTTTTCTATGCTCATACCAACCAACATGCCTACTCACAGCATGACTCATGACCGATGTTGTACTCATGCTCGAAACATTTGCGGCTCAAATCAAACGATGGAGTCTTCATGCCTGTCCTGCAGAATACGACGGCGCACGTTAAACTGAACACTCTTCAACACGGTCAGATCGGCAAACACAAGCACGTTGCATGGCATTGAAAAGAATACGTTGAACATGGAACTTCAACTGCCTCATCCACAACAATCTGGCAAAAAGGCTTCCGGACACAGAGAAGAGGCGACGCCCTTACTTCCCTTGTAAAACACCGGGCATGAATAATCCGAGCATCTGTTTAATTAATACCCCCACATTTGAAGAAATTTTTTTTGGCCGGAAGACTACTTTCCATTAGGTGGATTTCGTATGGGGCAAACCCACCACACTTAAAGGGTTTTTTTTTGGGGGGTTGCAAAATTTTGAACCCAGCCCTTCGGAAAGCCTTTTTTTCTTCTGCAAGAAAGTTTGGGTCGATGTGAAACATCTGCTAAGGCTGCACCTCTTAGTATTGTTAGAGAATCAATACAGGGCCATGCTCCAACTATTGCGGAACCCTGCCTTTCTTATTGTGGGGGGGGGGGGCCCCCCCAATTAAACAGATGCTCGGATTATGTATGTACAATGAAACTTGTAACCTGGAAGCCCAATATGAAACTCAAATCATCATGTAGATTTACGTGATGTTGGGCACACAATCTCTTCCCAATATTCAATCACATATTGGAATCATTCGCGCACTCTCTTTGTCCGCGAACTGGGGATTGCCCTTCGGCCCACATTGGCCTGGGCCAACGACAAGAACGACAGTGCTTAAAGCAAATTTGGTGACATATGTGGCAATTTCCACCAAATCTGGGAGCTTGCCTTTCTCTTCTTCGTTCCATGACGAACACAAAAAAGGTAGGCAGGGCGAGACAAAAATTTCCCCCAAAAAAATCACGGGGTCCCACCCACACCTCCCACTTGAGGTCACCGAGCACAAGTCGGACATAAAGCGTTGCAAAACTGACAACACGCGTGCACCAGTGACACACACACACACACACATCCATTTGTCAGAAGTAAACTTGTATCACAAGGAAATGTAGACCCATCTGTAAGCGGAGTTTCTTCATATTTCCTTTGTAAAGCACCGGGCATGAATTTGTATGTACAAAAAAACTTGTACCCTGGAGGCCCAAACTGAAACTCAAATCATCATGTAACCTTACATGATGTTTGGCACAAGAACTGAAGCACCCACGCAATCACGACTACGATTCTTTCCACTGAATTGCAATAAGTTACTTGGGAAAAATGCTCCGACTTCCCAAATTTCCGACAATGTTTTCTGAAAGTGCCTTGAGCTTCGCAATTAAGTCTGCCAAGAATACAGCTGGAACACCCATACAGGGCTTGCTCAAAAGATGGCGTCACCTCACGGTATATCACAAGATGCGAAAATAGGCTCAAAAAGTTGAGGCTGACAAGAGAAAGGCTTTATGGGCTGAATTGAAACCGCTCCGCTAAAGACGCTGCCAACACTTCAAGCACCTCATCTCTCCACAAATTGATTCGCAAATTGGCACCGAAATCGAGAAGGCAAGCGGTTCGGATACGGGACAAGGACGGCATGATTGTAGACGAATTCATTCGGGTAGCACCACGTTGCGAGTCATTTGCAACAAGATTAACTTGGATTTTTTGCCTAGCGGCAAAATGGGGGTGCGAAGCACTCTCCCGCTATGTCTGTAGCCTCCGAGAAAAAATTGCGCAAGAAGCAGAACAGAGACCTTACAGTTGCAGAATCCACAGTTGCAAAATCCAAAACTAAACTCGACGTCTCAGCTGCAGTATAACAAACTACTACTACTACTACTACTACTACTACTACTACTACTACTACTACTACTACTACTACTACTACTACTACTACTACTACTACTACTACTACAACTACTACTACTACTACTACTACTACTACTACTACTACTACTACTACTACTACTACTACTACTACTACTGACTACTACTACTACTACTACTACTACTACTACTACTACTACTACTACTACTACTACTACTACTACTACTACTACTACTACTACTACTACTACTACTACTA